AAGCATAAAAATTCAAAACTCTGTAAAGTCCCTTTAATAGGGCTGGGTGATATGGCCTGAAACCAATATCACAATATATTGTGGGTTTTACTTTGATAATGATAAATGGACGATAACTACGGGTATACGCAGATACAAATGTCCATTAGATGGGGCTGTCTCATGTATTACGTTGAGTCACATTTTTACATTACTTAAGGTGGTACAGCTTCTTAAAGAGACATGAACGTTGCCAACCTAATTTTTTTTAATCAAATTGATTGACGTGGAAAAAATTATCTCGTTAAAAGTCAGAAATTTTGATAACGATACATTTTTGATTTATTGCCCAGTTCTACCCCTTAATTTGGCCGACTGAACAATTAGTTTCCCTTTAAATGTATGTTAATGAACCAAAACCAATGTTTGGTTATTAGATTTTTTAATATTTTAAAAATTACTACTCTTGTTTCATATCATTTCAGTTTTCATTGTTGTTTTTTCTTTTTTTAACAAAGGGAAAAACTATTTGTAAAGCATTTTTCTGTCACTACGATTTAACAGGTAAAAGCTGCTCAGCCACTCTCTCCACTGGGAGCCTTTTCCCTCTTATCACTTTGTGGAGGTTTATTTTCCTCATTTCTCATTGCTTTTTAAGTTGTAATGAACACTGCAGCGTCACATGTGCTAAAAAAGCTTTACTGCCTTTTTCAAATAGATTTGACATTTTCACCAACAATGAAATGGCCTCATTTCTGAGACAGGCCCACACAGCTCAGTTTGCAGCACATTGCCACTGGGCATCACTGAGTTTTGAAGAGGAGTAAAATAAAAAAAAAAGAAGGAAATTTCAAAAGAATTTGAGAATGTGGAGGATGGCCGTGCACCTCCTGGGTAAAGTGAAGGAAGCGAATGACAATGACTACTTTTTCCCTCAGCAGGCTGTTGGTATCAGTGCCATGGATAGGCAATTAATTTCCCTAAACAGCATGCAGTTTTTAGGGAAGAGCTCTGCTGAATTACCGTTTGAAATTTTCTCCCTTTTTTGAAAAAAAAAAAAAAATTGTATTCTATCCTAGTTTCAATTGTACTATTATGCAGTCGCGCATTAAGTTTCTATTTCAAGAAAGTGTACACAAAGCACGTAGTTATTTTTATGTATTATCTCAGTTTCTTGAAACCTTCGTAAAGTTTGAAGACGATCTAAAAACTTGCAGCAGTATGTCAGTTTTTGCTGTCAGTCAGTTTGAAGCAGCTGTTAGAAATTAGATTCAAGAAATTATTGCCTGTGGGAGCTGACAGTTCAAGATTTATTGATCCCAAATGTAACATTTCTCCTACAGCAACAAGATCAAGTGGTGAGTTAAATGACACATTAAATGTAATCAAACCAGAATGGAAGAATTGCCATTTTTCTTTCATCACAAATCAAAATGAATGAAGTTTGGTTCCTTCATCTTGCACTTTTAGGTTGATGGTCTTTGGATATGTAATCACTTTAAGTCAGGAAGTTGGTACCTTTAATAAAGTCAAGTTGCAAACTGCTGACTAAATTATTCCACAGCAGAGTAAAAAGTCGAACGCATGTTTATTCATTTAAACTTTATTGCCCCCTAATCTTTGTGTAGCCTTTGTTCTTATTTGTGCGTATCTTTAAGGTGGCTCAGAAGAGTTAACGAAATATGAAAGAATTTCAACTCAACAATAAAAGCCATAACTCAATGGAAAATGCTATAAATGAACCCTAACCCTAATAATACAACGAAGGTTAAAATATACCAACATCAAAAATATTATGTGGAAGTTGTAGTCAGCCTTGAGTTTATGCAAGAACTGAAGATCTGCTAATAGCTTATAGTAGGGGGTGGTGGGATCCTTTTTCGCAACCTTTGTCAGTGGAATTCATTTACATATGTTCTATCCTCCTTTCAGTGAAATAAGTAGAAATCATGAATGGACCAAAACTGCCTTATATAAAAAAAATTCCACTGCTACTTTGTTATTAACATAATTCCAGTTTTAGCTTAGCAAGCCCTTCCAACACCTAGCCTAGTAAACTAGACCAAATTCTTGCTTTGCAAAGTTTGGTCTAGGAACACTCTATTGGAACCTCCTTAGCCCCTAGCAATGCTCTGGCTGGCCAATTGAGCTCTCTATAAAGGTTTCAACCTGACAGAGTGCTGGTCCATAGTGGTGGGCTTTTTGGGCCAATCGGGGCCCTCTGTTCGCCCGGTGGCCAGGATGATGCGATAGAGTGGAACAAGATAGTGACAGCTCCTTTAAAATGGTTTTTACATCAATTTGGAACTATTTGGACTTGGACTTTATTAGAATCAGGAGTAGAGAGATGTTTTTAAGCTCTATTTAGAAAAAGGAAGCATCTTTGCCTTCTTCAACAGCGGGCTGCCTCGTTTACCAACGTCCATTGCAGTACGTATGTCACGTTGTTCATTGTCCAGTAGCATGTAGAGATCGTTTGAAAGAAAAATGGTCGAATGCATCCCACAACCGAGAACTGTCAATGGGGTGTTGCCAGACTAAATTATATATTTATTTAGTCTAGCTGGCCAGGCTACTTCCAACCACAACTTCAGTTTTCTTCTGGGCCACCAGTGCTTTGCCACCATGAACCATCATAGAAATAAATACAATTGGTGTGTTTTCTCACTTTGGGAAGGCACTGGGGTTGGCACTCAAAGATCACGTCAAATAAATCTACATCCTTTTCTCAATGTAACACCCCCCCCCCCCCCCCCCCCCAAAAAAAAAACTAGTAACTAGAAATACAAAAAGGAAGTAAATGAATTTTAAAACCTTTTTTATCAGCTGTCAGGGTGCATGAGCTAAACATACCCTTATTTAAACACTCAATTTCAAAAATTTTGTAATTTTAGCATTATTAAAGAAAATGTTTAACCTTCCTTCTGTTATATTCTTCTACCCTACGTAGTTCTTAAGCACTGGGTTGTCAACAATGTATTAATTGATTTCTCAACAAGAAATGTGACAGAATACTGTGTAGAGAAGAATGGCGCTAGAGCACACTGGTCAGTGCAAGATTTGAATGGATGCAAGGTAATTATAGACAGGTGTGTGTCCATTCCCTCATTCCCAATGGCTGTGAATGGAACATTTTAGTTTTTGCTTCTCTTTTCTTTTTCTCTCTACTGAAAGAAAGAAAGTACAGCAAAATGCACTGATTGAAGGTACAGGTCACATCTTGTTTGGCTCCTCCCTGTCTTCATTTCATTTATTTGTTTGTCTTGACTTATGAGCTTATGGATGTTCACTGCCAATCTCCTTACATTGGACACACACCTGTTTATATTTACCTTGCTCTTGTTACATCTTGGCTATGCTATAAGTAAGGAGGTAACATAAACCTGTGAACAGATGGAAGGGGGGGGGGGGTTTACATGCGTTTGATAAATAAAAGACATATAAATAAACTTACAATATGCAGAATGGCACAGATAAGTACCAACAGAGAAAAGCCTAACCAGACAAACAGGGCAATCGTGAAACTGACTTAAAGCGCGCGAGGCTGAGGATATATGAAACAAACAAACACAGGCTCAGAAAGACTTCATATGAAAGAGGGCAATAGCAGTTTTCACACCTAAATCAAACCAGTGGAGATCTAACTCCCAATACAACCACAAATTGGTCTAAAAGCTACTAAGCAGCTATTCTACACCAGTAAACCACTAGAGTTTACTAACAGCACAAAGTTCAAACAAAGCTGACCAAATGAAACATTAGAAAGTGCTTCTACTTTAGAAAATCTGACATGATGTTTGTGTACCCATTGCTTCTGAATGTAGTACAAATGTGGATGAGAGCAAATTATCCGTCAATTTTTCTTCTAAACAGATATTTGGTACACGTGAACTAAAACACACGACCGCCTTCACAACACGTCTGAATTCAGATGTACAATTTGTGCATTTTCTCCTTTATTTATTATTCTAGTGTGTGATGGCTATCGATTGAGAAAATGAATCATTGTTAATATATAAAGAATAATTTCATGTTTGGTTTTCAGTGGAATAAATGAAAAGATGTAAATTAAAAAAGTTGGAAGTATGGCAGGGTAAGACCTTATTTTGACACACTGGCAAAATCTGAATTGCGGCACTAGTGGTTATTAAATCACGTGGTATTTGTGTTTACCTTTAGTAAAAGCTGAAAAGTTACTGACTTGTCCAGAATTGCACCAAAACAACAATCCCTGAATAAAAGATAAAACGTGTGTCACTCTCTGCATCTTTCTATTCAGTTATTCTTGTTTTTCTCCAAAAAGCATTGTTTATTTGAGAGTCACATGTTAAAAACACTGTGTAGGTTTCTCTGAGACCGATGTTTCAATATAAATCCACTCTGTGGGTGAAGAACTCTGTCTTCAGCTGAAAGATTGGAATTTCACTGTGGGTTTAATTGGTCCTTGAGGGGAAAAAACTGTTTTCCCATCCAAATTTAAAGATGTTTTTTCACTCTTTAGATCTCCAGTCTACCAAAAACAAGTGTTTCGAATGCCTGTGAAATTTATATCCACGCAATTACACGGAGATTACTGAATCCCTGCAAAGAAGCTCACACAGTAACGAGAAAACCAGGTGGCAAATTATTCTAAGACACCTTGTTAGAAAGGAGGGGTAGAGTGGAAGTGAGGTGTGCTTCGGTTAAACGAACAGAACTACATTTTCCAAGGAGGTAATGAGTGCTTCACAGATTATTTTTGATTATTTGATCTTTCATTACATAAGCAAGAACAACAAAGGGAAGCGTCACTAGTTCAGAATTAGCTAAACACACTTTCTACACTTGTACTTGAACACATATTAACCTGAAAATGATTTATTTTGCTACTTTATTGTCTAAAAAGTTTGTCATAATGGAGGTTTTGATGACCAAATCTTTAATCTGGATAATTCTCCTTTAAATATTTATTCTAAATGAGCTTTTATTTCTGTAAACTTCATTTGAAAAACTATTTTTTAATTAAACTGTTTGTCAAACAGGTGGAAAGCAGAAGGTGGTGCCGCTGTCGAAGCAGGATATCAAACTCGTCATTGAAGATTTTGACCCCTCAAAGGATTATATATTTAAGATCTTCGCTGTGAAAGGAGGACAGGAGAGTAAACCTCTTCAGGGAAAACTTGAAGGTATGTGCACTGAGTTTGATTCATTATTCCATTTCCTATGTTGAAAAACCTGATTGTGCTGAGTCACTGATTTGTGGACAGACTTTACAGCAAGCATGTAGTGAATGTGGACAGACTTTACAGCAAGCATGTAGTGAATGTGGAGAGAAAAACTCCCCTTTAACAGGAAGACAACCTTCAACAGAACGTGACTCGGTAACATAATGTTGCTATATTTTAGTGGTATTGAAACTTGGAAACGATACTTTTATGTGCTTAATCTGTCTGGTTCTCCTGCTTAAAGCAGCTATATTCTTCATCCCGAATCAATTTCCCTCTGGGATTAATAAAGTATTTTTGAATTGAATTGAATTTTGTGGTTCTGCTGGAGTTTGATCTTCAGCTTTTTTCCATTATTCCTAAATGTAAATCCAGTAGCTTTTGTTTGTTTATGTGAAGGGCCTTGAGATGACTCTTGTCGTGATTTGGAGCTGTATAAATAAAATTGAATTGAATTGAATTTTGTATTCACCTGAATAATTCCCTGTCTCCCTTACTGACATGCCTCTTTTCCTGTTGAGCAGTTGTTTCAGGTCACCGATGATCCAGGGTTTATTTGGTCTAGGCACCTGTATGTTACAGAACTTTCAGTCGTAGCACTGATGTCACCTCCATGTTGCTCAGAGTCCATCCCAATCTGTAGCCTCAAAACATCCCTGCAGTGCATCCGTACCTTTCTGCAGCCATCTCCTCAACATTCTTCTAGTCACAGGTTAAAAATGGGAGCAGACCAGAGAAAAACTACATGATGATCGGCTTCACCAAGAGCTGCATGCATCCCTGATATTAGCATAACATTCGTTAGTTTGTTTTCTCTGGTGAAGCAGTTGGCTGTATTGAAATGTTGGAAGTGCAGAACAGAGAGAGGCGTGGAAACTATTTCCTGTTATTCTCACAAATGGATTAAGGTGGCGTGCACAAGCCCGCGACTACTGTGGTAAACTATGTTTGCATTAATACCTCTTCAGAATCTGGGCTGCGGAGAGGATATTTTCAGGATAGCCGGTTCTGGATTACACCGCTAATGAAACTCCTTTTTTCTTTTTCACTCGTCTTTATGCTCTTATCATACAAAAAGGAGAGAGATTGGTGTCAGGAGTATGAGTGAAACACATGATCCAGCTTGGTCCTCATCAGCGTTCTGAGCTCACCCTTTTTATTAGCAAGAGATCTGTTGCTTTCTGTCATAATCAATGGGAACGAAGGTTTAAATGTCCTCTTTCTAGCTCCACTTTCCTCTTTATCAGCATTCATGTCACAGATTTTGAGTTGCAGTTTGGGTCCTATTTGAGCTTTTAGGATGTCAGTTAGCTGCTCCCAGTTGTAAGCAAACCACTCATTCCAGTGGTTACTCATCACAAGTAGTGGCATAAAAAAGTAGAACCAGCCCAAAAGTACACCAGCAACGAGAAGGTTTTTGCTGGTTTATGATGGTTCTCTCAAGTCAGCATTTTGATAAAAGTCAGTCAGACTTTACGGTTCATTTTACTATTAAATGTAATTTAAAAATAGGCTTAAAATTAGTACTAAAGTAAAACAATTTTAAAGGTGTTCATGGAAATACTAAATGGTGGCCTGGCAAGTCATCCTATGTATGTGAATATATAGTCTGGCCATAACCCATAGACCAAGCTCGGTCATGGGACGAAATCTACCATTGTCTTTCAAACTTTCTTAACAATGTGACATTCTCATCGCTATGGATGTCAGTCAAGGTGGAAATCCATCATACACGGTCAAATAGGGCTGGGGGTAAACGATTATTTTTAAAACGATTATTCTGACGATTATTTTATCGAATAGTCGACTATTCTAATGACTATTTAGAAAATTAATCTAATGATTATTTTTCTATTGCACAATTAACAAAAACCAGAAAATCTCAAATAAATTCCTCAAAAAAATTGATAAATTCTTACTGTAAGAGAAAAAACACTACAGGCCTTCCATTTTGTATAACACTGCGTTTATTGTGTTGGTTGGTTATGTTCTGGTGACGTGTAGAACTTGGGAGTGCCGGCTGCTGCCTGAGAGGTGGTAGAAGATGGAGTGTCTCCATGCTGCTTTGTTTTGGTCACTTATGTGCGTGAGGCGAGTGGTGTTACGGGTTAAACCAAACTCAGGTGGTATTTTACACTAAACCGAAAACCCACAACACTCTAAATGTAATAAAAGGGAGATCTGCACCACAAAAAAGATGAACTCTAAACCAAAACGTAACAGCTTATCCCAACGCAAGAAGCTGTTAGCGAAGATGCTAACAGTAGCTTTACCAACATTAAGTTCAAGTTACCAAGTTTAAATAAACCAAAAACACCCGGCAGCAAACAGACCAGCACGGAGGAGAGACTGCTACCACCAAAACAGCTCTCCTCATGTCTGAAAGAAGCTCCTTAATGAAGGGAGAAGCGCTCCCGGTGATTTTCTACATCTGCGGTAGAGACGAAGCAGCACATCTGACCCCGGAAGTTGTTGTCCGTTGCCGGGAGACGAAGGCGGGCAAAACAGGAAAATAATCTAGTAGGGGACGGACGTTGTTCCGGGTCTTCGGTATTTGGCGGAGATGTTAGTGAAGGCGGAGAAGAGGGCGAACTAGAGGAAAAACGGGCAGATTCCTCTTCTATTTACAAACTCCTGGGGATGCAACAAGTGGGCGCGGTGCGTCGACTTCCGGATCTGACGTCGACAAATTTTTAGAATCGAGCCGTCGACGTCGTCGAGGCTTCGCTACAGCCCTACGGTCAAAGAAGATGCAAATACATCCTTTTTCTAATTAAAGCACTTAATTACATCTATCTGGTCTAAATAGCCCATAGCTAATGCCAAAACCGTTTCAAACGAGTCAACGCTAACTTAAGCCTGATTTATGCTTCTCCGTCTGCGTCAGTGCGGCGACACGCAACGCCATTATCCGTCCTTGTGTAGGGCTCCGGCAGGCACGCAAGTACGTACGGAGTCGAGCCCACTTTTTTAAACATCCGTCGAACGAGACGGATTACGCAAGCTTGTGATTGGTCAGGACGCCGCTGTTGTTTACAGCGCCGCCATTGCAAAGAGAGCCGAGGATAACTAGCGGCAGACACGGAGGAGCTTGAAGAATACCTCGCAAAAAAACTCTAAAAATATGAACGTTTAATTCTCTCGTGACTGGAGGAGTGAAAAGATGCGCAGCAAGCGTTTTATTTGTGGACGGAAATGACAGGAAATGTGGGTTTAGAGGTGGGGAGCGCATGAAGAGGTGGGAGAATGAGAGACAAATATGTCCGTGTTAGAAGTCTCTTATATACCCAAAAACACAATATAAACACACGCTCTTGGACCGATACATGACAGGATACCACAGAACAGCGCTACGCCCTCTGTTGTCCTGCTGGGAAAATGCTTTACAACACTCTCCAGGAGACGGAGAAGTTTGAGAGCAAAACGCTTCCGTCAATCCGTGCGTGTCTGTCCCTTGCAGAGCTGACGGAGAAGCATAAACCAGGCTTTAGTTATTCCCCTCCATCTAGGGCTGGGCGATATCGCCTAAAATCAATATCAAGAAATATTGAGGATTTCACCTCGATAATGATAAATGGACGATAACTACATGTATGCGCAGAAACAAAAGTTGTCCACTGGATGGGGCTGTCACATGTATTACGTTGAGTCACATTTCTACGGGACTCGAGGTGGAGCATCCTCTTAAAGAAGAAATGAACGTTGCCAACCTACACACATCTCAATTTTTTATTATCAAATTTTTTGACATAGGAAAAAATATCTCAATGAGAGTCAGAAATTTCTATAACGACACATTTTCGATTTATTTCCCAGCCCTACCTCCATCGCATTTTCCCGCCCACCAAACTGATAAGAGTGCTGTGATTGGCATTACACAATACTGCTCAGGCCAATGGTAGACCTGCTGAGGCTCCTATGGAACATGGCTAGACCGACACAAGTGTGTAAATTATTGCAGAATTGATCCAGGGAGCATTGCGTCATCGATTGCAACGCACGCCGGGATGCTGGTCGCTGTGATAATTTTTTCAAAAACCTTTATTAACATCTTTTAAACAAACAGCCAAACAGTTATTTGAAGTAAATTTTAATTTATTGCTACTTTGTTGAAAAGTTTTAGAGCATCAACTAATCATCCTTAAATGAACTGATCTCGTCTCTCGTCTCGTCTCGTCTTCCTCCGCTTATCCGGGTCCGGGTCGCGGGGGCAGCATCCCAACTAGGGAGCTCCAGGCCGTCCTCTCCCCGGCCTTGTCCACCAGCTCCTCCGGCAGGACCCCAAGGCGTTCCCGGACCAGATTGGAGATGTAACCTCTCCAACGTGTCCTGGGTCGACCCGGGGGTCTCCTGCCGGCAGGACATGCCCGAAACACCTCCCCGGGGAGGCGTCCAGGAGGCATCCTGACCAGATGCCCAAACCACCTCAACTGGCTCCTTTCGATCCGGAGGAGCAGCGGTTCTACTCCGAGTCCCTCCCGAATGTCCGAGCTCCTCACCCTATCTCTAAGGCTGAGCCCGGCCACCCTACGGAGGAAACTCATTTCGGCCGCTTGTATCCGCGATCTCGTTCTTTCGGTCATTACCCAAAGCTCATGACCATAGGTGAGGATTGGGACGTAGATCGACCGGTAAATCGAGAGCCTGGCTTTCTGGCTCAGCTCCCTCTTCCTCACGACAGATCGGCTCAGCGTCCGCATCACTGCAGACGCCGAACCAATCCGCCTGTCGATCTCCCGATCCCTCCTACCCTCACTCGTGAACAAGACCCCGAGATACTTAAACTCCTCCACTTGAGGTAGGACCTCTCCCCCGACCCGGAGGTGGCAAGCCACCCTTTTCCGGTCGAGAACCATGATCTCAGATTTGGAGGTGCTGATCCTCATCCCAGCCGCTTCACATTCGGCCGCGAACCTACCCAGCAAGAGCTGAAGGTCAGAGCTGGATGAAGCTAGGAGGAC